TATATATATATATATATATATATATATATACACTTCTGATTATGGACAGTGTGGGTTTAGTGTGTGCGTGAGTGCCCATAATCAACAGAAAGCTTTTAATTAATAGAGTAGACGTCAGAGCTGACCTCCCTTTTCTCCGCCTTCTCCAAAGTTACTCCATTTTTATTTTTCAACAACACTTCAACAATCACCACGGTAACAACAAGGTGTATATAAAAGCTCAATAAGCACTGCCGATTTACTGTCTCAATGTGTGTTTGGAGATGGCGTCCGCTGGTGGACCTGGGATCCGTAGTGTCCAGTGAAATACATGGAACTAGTTTAAAATAGTTCATAAAAAAAAAAAAAAAAAAATTAAAAATCAAAGTTTGTAAGGGACCTTTTTGTCACAGATCATAGTAATATAATTAAAGTGATGTGTTTACCTGTTATGGGCGCAGTTTAACGGCCAAATGCAAATCTCATATGTTTTGAGTTACTTTATTGTCGTTGTACAGTAGACAGTAGATGTGCTTGTTCAAAACAAAACACTGAACAATTATACGCACACACTCAGCCTTGCTTTGAATAAAACACACTTGCGATATATATATAATTGAGATCATTAATAAAAAATTTTTTAAAAAAAAGCTGGTTGTTGCTCTATTTTTTTCAACGAATAGGTGTTATATGCAAAAGTTGTCAAGGAATAATACAATATATATTAATGTTAAGTTACGTATTGACACACTCTCGTGTTTCCTTGTTAGCGGCCACAGAGTTGCTTCTGGCAATGAAGGTATATATTTTTTTATTTTTTTTTTATTCCTCATGACTTTGAAATATGTTCTCCAGGTCGTTCCATTTGACGCGGAAGTTGAATAATACAGCGTCAAACCTCAAAAGATGAGCCGTGTCTCGCCGTTTAACTGTGATTGGGGGCTTTAGGCTTTGTTAGGCCAGACTGTGAACACAAAGGCTGGGTATGTTGAGCCTGTATATGCCCCAGGAAATGACCAATGACCTCTGACAAACATGCATGCGCTCACTCACTTACTCACTCACCAAACACTGAACTCAGTGAACAGAACCACTGTTCTGTCTCTGACACCTGACCTCTGAATTTCAGTCGCACTCAATCAAGAACATATCAGCATGTGATCGTAAACACTTAACTTTATTACCGTAATTTCCGCACTATTAAGCGCACCTGAATATAGGCCGCACCCACTAAATAAAAAAATAAAAAAAGTTGTACATATATAGGCCGCACTTCTCCATAATGTCCACGTTGTAACATGGGATATTTGCACAGAATTTCGTTGTAACATGGGATATTTGCACAGAAATATATTTTTTTTCAGTTTTACTTAAATAAATGTTTTTTTTTCCAAACAGTGCCCTTTTTTTTCACTTTTACTTAAATAAATGTGTTTTTTTTTCCAAACAGTGCCCTTAACACAGCTGGTTACACGTTAGCTCTTTCCTGCTTCGGTGCCCCAAGTAGTTGGAATCCAAGGGGCTAAAGCTAACATTCTCCAGAGCTGAAGCTAACATTAGCTCCCGGGGGCTAACTCCCTTCACTTTGTGCTTGTCCGCAGCAGAGGTAAACAGAAACAGGTTGAAGTTGGGACCTTTATTATCAGCCACACAGCAGAGGTAAACAGAAACAATGAAGTTTGGGTCTTTTTAATCAACCACACTGAGTTTTAACAACACCTGTATAACCAACCAATCACGCTTCAACATGACAGGGCGACAACTGCTCTCAACTTTCACTACAGCCATTCACAGACAGACATACGCTACTAGCATAACACACAGTAGCCTACAAAGTAATTGATCGCTAGCGGTATAAACTACGTTAGCACGAAAAAAATCCATGAATGTAAATGTAAAAAAAGCGTGTGAAAAAAATAGCGGCTTATAGTCCGGAAATTACGGTATGCATCATTCAGACATCATCAGAAAAAAATATACAAGCTGATGATTTCCTCTCACACACAGACACAATAACACAGTCATTACCCTTTCCTTATCTAAGGCACACATTGACAGTATGTCACATCTTATCACAAATGTAGCGACTGCTACCAAACACTCACAATAGCTGTCCTGGACGGCATTGCTCAGCCTGCTGAGGACAGGCGCAAGTGGAGAAACTAAATGGCTGAGTGATTATTTCTCACACACACACACGCACAGTCTGCAACCAGCTGCCTTTAATTCCAATGCCCATTAATGCATCAGCGTGTCTGTCTGTGTGTGTGTGTGTGTCTCTTAAACACACAGACACACCAGCTATATGACCACTGACTACTAACAGATCCAATTATACACTTCAAGTAGACATATACTGTATGTCTACATATATATATGTATAAATCATAACATATATATATATATATATGTGTATATATATTTATATATGTAGACATATATGTCTACATATATATATGTATAAATCATAACATATATATATATATATATGTGTATATATATTTATATATGTAGACATATATGTCTACATATAT